AACTATTTCAAATGCCAAAATAAAGAATGGTTGATGCGTACTATAAAAAAACGGACGGCGGTGCGTGAATGCGTTGGAAGTCTCCGGGTGGTCGTCGGAAGCACTTGCGTATCCTCCGCCGCGATCTGAAGTCCGGTGCCGGCGTCGCTTTGGGTTCAGAAGCAGAAAGGTTTATGGCTCGCTGCTAGTTACTGTACAGTCTCCACTCGTCAAACCGGAAGAATGTGACGGACCAAAAGTTGCTTCGGACCACTCACTGATGAGTGGGGTCAAGGGGCTACAGATTACTGAGCGAGTGGGTCATTGTCAAACATGTCATTCCCATATCATAGCTTACACACACCTTAGAGCATCTCCAATGGGGATGTCTATTCTCTTACACATTCTTACAATTGGGTCCCATTTTTTATCTCACAAATTTTATGTGTAGGACCTACATATCTCCTTATTTATTTTCATTTTCATTTTTTTATATCACTTCTAACCCACTTTTCATCCACTTTTGCTCCTCGATTCCCGTGTAATGTCTATTTGTGGACATTGTCATAGACATTGTCTACAATTTACTCCTATCTCTCTCTTCCTTTTCATTTTTCCATACACACCACTTTCTCCATATTAAATTAAAATAATCATCCTATCTCTATCTCTCTCCTATGCCACGTAGGATAGACTTTACTCCAATCCACTACCCCATTGGAGATGCTCTTAGTATCTCAACTATCCAATAGACAAATACCCCCTTCCAAAAATCTTACTCGGAGAAGATATGGAATGTGCTCTTGCGATTTTCAACCTTTAAAAAGTGAGACAATGTGTACTATCAATCCATAACTCTTAAAAAATTGACCTCAAATAGTAAAAGGTCAAACCATATATATATTACTCTCTCCGTCTCATAAAACTTGATCAAAGTAGACGTGCACGTAGGGGCTAATAAAGTAAAACCCACGTTATTGATATTTGTGCAGAAAAATAATATTTTTAGTTACATATTTATTACGGAGTACTTTAAATAGAAATGACAAAGCATTTTGTGACGATCAAAAAGAGAAAATTAACCAAGTTTCATGTGACGAGGCAGTACATTCATCTAAACAAAAAATCTCACTTTGACTCTGAGAAATTATTATTATTATTATTATTATTATTAAGAAAGTAAAAATATATACGAAGAATTTCTTGATGATGTAGAAATATACTCCCTCGATAACAAAAAATCTTCTCATTTCAAAAGTAGGTAGATTAAGAATAGTGAAGGATGATATAAATTATTAAAGGTATGATAGGAAGATAGTGGAATAATGTGATGGAATGTAGATTAAATCTAAAAAAAAGTAACTATAATAGTGTATCATTTTCAAAATTACTGATGGTATAACTAGAAGATTTAGAAATTGAGAGATTTTCTCGTTACGGACAAAAAAGGAAAGGGGGGAGATTTTTTTTGCTACGGAGCATGGAACAATGTTCCAAACTAATAACCCCATAAAAAATATTGGAGGGAGTTTTTAAGACATCCCAAACAGTGGCGGATCTTTTGAAAATTTGAGAAAAATCATTGTATGTATATGTAGAATTAGTGCAACTATTTCTTTTAATTTTCTAATATTTATTACTTTTAGCTCAATTTATTTGTTTTTCTAAAATGTGTAAAATTTTTGCAAATGTTTCCAATCTTTGTTGTAGACTGTAGAGTAGTCCCTCCATATCATTTTACTTGTCATGCTTTTCTTTCTGGATTATCTCAAAACAAATGTCATATTTCTGTTTTTGAAAAGAAAATATGTGGTAGATCGCATTTCACTATATTATACTCATATCTCAATAATAACTTTTACTTTTTCAATCAATTTATTAATAATTGTGTCAAATCAAAATAAAAAAAGTTATGAGAAATTGTAAAAGAATGAAGCAGGAAAATAAAAATGGAATTTAAATTAAAAAAATATTCTCTCTACTAAAGCGAAAAATTGTAAAAAGACACAATAATCGAATGAGAATATTACTTGAAATAGCACGAAAAAGGTTTGAAAATTCCAAAATAGGACTGTCATGTTTTTTTTTCAAAATAGGACTAATTAATGTCATGTTTTGGCAGTATCAAACTTCAAACATGGCAGTATTTTCTAAACTTGACAATAATCACTCTTATTTTGGGAATAAAAACATGACAGCCCTATTTTGAAATTTTCAAACTGTTTTAGTCTTATTTCGGGAACTTTCCCTAATCGAATATAAGGCAAGTGTAATTGCATTATTGCATAATTGTACAATTCTCTCTACTTCCAACTTTTTCTTACTTTTGCTGTATTTATTCTAAATTCTAATCTTATTTTGTATTAAAGGGAGAAGTTTATTTGCTATATATTTCTCTCTTTCTAAATAAACTGTAGCCGCTATATTTTTGTTTTGCAGATAATAAATGAGTACTCAAGGAATTTTATCGATCCAGGACTAGAGTACTCAATGAGTACTAAAGGAGAGGAATGAAGTCGAAACGAGAGAAAAAGTTAAAATAAAAAAAATAAAAAAACGACCAGTAGGGTCAGCTGGTCCTTGTGTGCCCTGAAAACGTCCGCCACCAGGTCAGCTGGTCCATCAATATGTCCGCCACCAAACCTAAAACAGCTCCTCGACAACACGCATGCCTCCGTGGGGATCCTTGATTGCCCCAACCCTTCTACTGATTAAGTAATCTAGAGTCAGATATGCGTACGTACTTCCCCACCCTTATTAATAACATTGTCCACAAGTGTTTGTGTTATTCTTCGGTAAGTCTCCATTTCATTTCTTTACTGTACTTCCTCCTCTGTCTCTCTATTAAGTTCCTACTTTGACCAACACACATATTTAAGAATTAAATTTGACTTTACTGTTTAGACACTGTTTGACACTGTTTGGCACTGTGTAGACACTGTTTGGACACTGTTTGGCACTGTTTAGACATTGTTTGACACTGTTTTGCACTGTTTGACACTGTTTTGATGTAGGATAACTTCCCATTTAAGGAAATGAGAAGATTATTTTGGGACGGCCTAAAAAGGAAAGTAGAAAGTTAATAGCGAGACAGAGGGAGTAACACATTACACATGTGTGTCCTCTAAAACTCAATCAACATTATGTGAAACAATACAGTAAAAATAATTGGTGAGTAAAGAAAATTGACAAAGTATTGTGAAACTGGTGAAGAGAGTTTATTTCCTATTCCCTTCGATTCACAATGAAAGTCACATTTTCGTTTTTTTGAATGTTTCAAAACAAGGTCATAATTCTTTATTTCGTAAACAAATATATATCAATACAGTACAAAACAGTGTCAAATAGTATCAAACAGTGTTAAAATATACTCTAAAATAAAATTTCCCCTCAATAAACTCCCCCATCTTAGTGTTATCAAAGTGTAGCGTTGATTTTGAAACAAGGGGAGTATTGTTCTTGTCTCATTTTTTCTTTTCTCTATCTCACTAATATTGTATTGCTTGCTGTCAATTTTTATAACTTGTGCAATCTTTCTAAATTTAAAATAATTCACATATTTTCTGTACAAAAACAATTAATACATTTAGAAAAAAAACATTATGATCTATTAAACGCTAAAATTGAAGGAAAGTATTGTACTAATATGATACATACTTTTAGAATGGAAAGGATCAATAAACTTACTCTAGAATATTAACGGGAAATGATAAAATAGTTTTGGAAGGCATGTCCTCTTTTCTTATTCACTTGTTTAAATTGACCATATTTCCCCATTCTTTTCATGTGTGAGAGATTTACTCTTCTTATATAATTTAAGATAAAGTTTATCTACTCTTTATTATTATATGTAAGATAAACTTATATGAAAGGGTACCATTATATTATGTGTGAACTACTTCCTAAAACCATAATATAAATATTAGGGAAATAATATGGATTTTAGAGTAATGTGCAATTAATGAGAGATTTCCCAAAATAGGATTATTATGTTTTTATTCCCAAAATTTGACTAACATGACAGTATTTACTGTCATCTTATAGACGTGACTGTCAAATAGTTGCAGCACAATGCCTTTAACATGACTGTATTTATTGTAATTAATGACAGTATTTTTCAATCATGGCAGTATTTTTCATAAATGACAGTAATAACTCCTATTTCGGAAAGAAAAACATAGTAGTCCTGTTTTGGTATTCCAAACCTCATTTACTCCTATTTAGGGCAATTTCCCGTTATTAATTAAGGCTCGTATATTACTAATTCCGATTTTCATTTAGAAGATTTTATGCTATCATTAGGGAAGGGTAGGTGTGCTAATGTTTTATATTGCACCACAATTATGTAAATGTGACCACATTCATGTATGAATGAATAAGCAACAACACATAATGTAACAAAATTGAAATCTTGTACTTATACATGTCATTTCAAGTTATTTTTGTCTAATGATTTATTAAAATCTCAAATCAAAACTAATCAGACTTCATTAAAAAAACTAATCAGACTTAATTGATAATAACACACAACTTGACCTTTGCAACGCCAACCATAAACAAACCAGACCCGATTTTAAACACACTAATAACCAAACTAGACAAACAAATCAAGTACCACCACCCTAACTTCACCGGGAGATAAATGAACCGCATGTTAGTTTCACTAACAGTGAGGATGTTTTCACTATTTTCAATCCCAATCTTGAAGTTTACCAGACTAGACTTAAGCATATCAGATCAAATCAACAAATTTCAATCCAAAAAAAAAACATCCCAAATCCCAACACCTTTGTTTGTGCAGCTTTGCCGTCGATTTCTTTTAGTCTTTTCTTTTTTCTAAAATTCGGGAAAAGATTAAGGTTTTTTTTTTGGAATATTCTTCCATCACGATGATAGTTTTTAAAAAAAAAACATGCAAGGGATGTTGGAAGGAGAATAAATTCGAACAGGTTTTAAATTTTGAGAATATTAAACTAGACAACTAGTCATATTTTTATAACCACAAAGTGCAATCGTGCAAAGCTATAATTATATCATTTTCTTATTATACAGTAAATAGATTCTACATATAACGTATTGGTTCAATAAGTCATTTTTGTGGCAAATTCTTTTGGAAATGGGCATGACCGGCTTTCAAGGAAAAAATCAATTTGTCTCACTATGAGGTGGCGTTAACCCCTTTCTAGCAGCCAAAATTTGATTCATTTTTAACTTAAGATACATTCTAACAACTGAAAACAAGGTAAATAACCATTAAATTGTGAAGGTGGAGCTGGCTAATTATACATCTCAAACAGGAAATTATATCCTGAAAAGCCCATAGTGGATTCCCCTTCAAAGCATGGAATGATGAGTACTTCTCCAGAACTGATCAAGATGGCTCTTAAGCCTCTTATTATTACCATTTGGAGGAGGATCAAGAAAGCGCTGTTATCACATTCTCACATTTGTCTTCCAAAATCTTTACTGCTTCAGTGAACAGCACTTCAGGAGGTAGTGCTCCGGTTGACTCGATCGTAACTACAAGAAATTTATTAAAAGGCAATATATATGAGTTTGTATTTCAAGTACTAGCAAGAAAATACATGCTTGTATAACTACAAATAAGAGTGGCAAATATACATCAGCATGCTCTTTCTTATCTATTTTTTAGTTTCAGCTGTTGACTTGTCATGACTTCTTGAACAGAACTATGGATACGGATTACCAATTGTCAAATGAATAGAACAATGAAAATACTTACAGATGAAGTGATCTTTTACACGGCGTAAAGCCACATTATTTTCCCAGCCTTCCTCCCTAATGCACTCCCTACAAAGGGTACAAACCCTTGGTCTTGCCACGGTCGCCCTCTTCTTACCTGTATGTAAATCATAGAATGAAGATTGATGAAGTCAACGTTCATCGTCAATTTAGTATAGCATGGTCACCTTACCTTTACCAAGATCTTCTATGTCAAAAACTTTAACAGGACATTTCTTCACAAGTTCTTCTGCTTCAGCACCTTTAATTTCTCTTAACAATACAACCTTTGAAGTTGGATAAAGAATTATCAAAATTAAACATCGTCCAGGTCTTGAATGAATGAGCAAAGATACTGTGAAATAAAACCCATAACCACGAGGAAGCAGTTCTCATCACCTCGGGAAGCATCCTGTACCAAGCAGTGGCCACAGGTGACCACTTTGCATGTGTCTTGCCAATGCCTTTAACAGCATGTGCTTCTAGTTCAATTTCCTACAAAATGAGGCAGCTTTATAGTTTTGTTATGATTTGTAACATGAGCACTTAAATGCAGTAAAACTCGAAATTTATTGCACAATAAAAGAGATATTTTTAGAAGACAGCGAGGTGTTAATAGTGAAAAAAAGAGTCTATGGAATGTTTAATTTCTAAATCTAAACATGCAATGTAATTTATTCTATTTTTCTTTAACAAACAGTTGCTACCTGCCCAGGCCCAAGCCTAGCTATTGTAATATCATGATGTTGGAGAGAAATCGGAGTGTTAGCGAACTCTGGTAGTGAATCTTGACTACAACTGAATGAAGTATATGTTTTAGGCTTTGATGCTGAACTAGAAACTGACTTTTCTGTGGCCAATTGAAATTCACTGCCATTAGGTAACCACTTCAGGTCTTCTGACTTTACTGATATTCTCTGCTGTTTAGCTTTCTCACAGCGAACATGGAGACGAAAAACAATTGTATTCTTCTCATTTGGAACATCATTCTCTGCAAAGTAAACAAAAATTATTCATCAATATACTGGTCTAAAGTGCATATCATAGGGTTGATATCAAATGAAACCACCCACCCAAAATGAGAATTAGGAACTTTCCTTCATGGTCAGTTAATCATAACAAGGCTTTATTTTCCTAACATTGAAAGGGGGATCAATAGAAAAAGAAATAAGGAGTAATTACTATCATGCTTGGAAAATACTGCCAATTGTGGCAATGATACTGCCATATTAAAGCCTAGACGCCTACTAATGCCAAAAAACTGAAGTAAATGAACATATTTACTCCTTAGGGGGGAAATATAGACTTCAGTTTTGGAAATTTACATTGTTTTTACTCTGATTTCGGTAATTTTCCATTAATATATTTAATTGGCTATTAGTAAACATTATTTTAAAATACTTTTGAAATTTTACTTCAAATTTATAGTAATTTTTATTATATAATATTTTCATACATTAATATATAAAATATAGTCAAAGTAGAGTATGTAAATAGTATAAAAGTCAATTTAAGAGTTGCAACTGTTACATTGGGGAGGATGTATTAGATGGTAGTGGTTAAAAATGCAAAAACTTACATCAAAGTCAACTTGATTGAGGGGGTGTTTGGAACTGATTCTGCTTCTGCTTCTTTTTTAAATCAGAATCAGAATCAGAATCAGTTTTCAGAAGCTAGTCCCCCCAGCTTCTAAAAAAACTGATTCTAAGAGTAAATTAGAGCCCCAAAATCACTTCTGCACTTTCACCCAAACACTCCAGCTTCTGCTCCCTGAAGGAGCAGAAGCAGTTTTAAGAATCAGATCCAAACACCCCCTGATAACAGATATAAGCATTACATGTATGACCAAATGGTCATGAAGGAAAGTTCCTAGTTCTCATTTTAGGTGGGAATTCTTATTTGATACCAAACCTTGTTCATATGTATAGTTATATACATACACATATAATGTACCCATGGAGAAATGGAAAAGAGACATAGTCAGGGATAGGATGTGGGAAAAAATTGAGTGAGAAAATAACGGTAAGTTATGTGGATAAAAAATATGTAGTAAAAGTTAGAGAAAGAGAAGACAAACATATTATGGAAAAGTAGGAATAAAAAGAGACCTGATAAATACTCAAATAGTCTTGGGTCAACTTTGAGAGGGATCAGACCAAGTCGATGTGAAAGCACCTCGTCTTGGACTATAGATGTGTTGTTTGCGATTAGAACTTTTTCAATAGCCATAGTTGGGACCTGCATCAAATCATACAAAAGTACAAGGTGTTATTATGCAGAGACCACATCTACAATAGAGGACAGAACTACAGAAGCACGGTGAACAAAGAAATTGAGATATATAAGCACAACTAGCAACTTTTTGTGAATCATTTTGAAGCTCTTACAAACTTATAAAGTAAAATAAAATAAAAAAGAAGATGAGAACTTATGTCTCAAACCAGTGCTCTAGGCTGACATCGCAATGGTGAATCAATCAATCAACTTCAATTGAGTGATAACTAGTCTAGAAAATTGACTGCTAGCATCATTTGTCTAGATACACAACTTTTGGTTTAAAAGAAAATATTTATTCACAAAAAGGGTGCGCCAAAGTAGTATCTGAAAAGCTATGCAAGCTCTCCATTCTAAAACATCTTTTGTTTCTTTCCAAATGATGGATCGAGCGAAAAAATGAAAAGCCCTTCCTTTTACCTCCAATTTTCCTCACACTGCAATCACTTCATGCAAAGCTATATGCATTCTCTAACAAGTAGCAACCTAAGTGTCCTAATATGAATCAAGCAATGTTACTGCACTGATCGTTCCTCACAAGTATACATTTTCTTGGTTGTAAATAAAGGGCAAAAATATGGGAAACTACATGCCTTGAACTTTGATTAGTGGAAGTCCTAGAACATTTCAATGCCTTGGAGCTTTGCTACTTCATTAGAGGGAAAAAGCTTTTAAGAAGTACTTGTGGTTGAAAAAGCAGAGCAGTAACACATAAATTATTTTATTCTCAGCATGTTTACCAATTCCATTGTGTGGGGTTGATGTTTTGTATCCTACCTGTTTTGAATACTTTTCTTTTGGTTGTGTATATCCACAAATGTCACAAGCAAACTTCTGAAAGCCCATCTTTAATTTTTAACCCCAGATTCACACCATTAACAAAAAAGCAGCAGAGCCTAAATAAACATGGAACAGGCATAATAATGTAGCATTGCCAAACATTAACACTACTAAGCAAATATTTTAGTAAACCAGAAATATACATTCCAGAGAGATTGATTTGAGGGATATCAGATTGCATAGGGAATAATAAATACTTGAGAAAATGTGTGTGGGACATATGCTTAGCTTGTGTTTCATTTAAATTTGAGGGATAAAATATAAACTTGTTTGGTTGGGTGTCATCTTATACAAGTATACAACTGATGAGTAATTTTCTTAACACCCTCAATGTATTACCATGTACTCCGTATTATTTTAAACATCCAAGAAATATCAAGATTTTTTGGAGTTAAGATACAATTTTCAAATAACACATAAAGAGCTACAATGTTATTCCCATACTACTTGAATGAAAGTGCACTTTAGCATTAGCTTACATATAAAATCCCTAGAAAATACAAAAACAAGTAGGAGAAAAGAATAGGCAACAAAATGCTAATGACAGAGGAAGTCGTGAATAGAATACAAGAAACGTTTTATGTTAATGGGTAGAAAAGGACTTGATAGCATTGTATGACATAAGGAATGGGCGGTATAAGATTACACCAAAAAAAGTAAAAAAGTCTTATGTGGCAAGGATATAACATGCCATTGGAATCTTATATACAACCTGACCAAACATTAGTTATATCATACAAGGCTTTCTTCTGTTATATTGCCTGAATGCCTGCTAATCCAGAATAAAGTAACCGAATGGCCGCTTATTGTCTTCACTTTTTCCAAACACCGAGATAATGTAGTGGGAAAAGGTGACATGCCAACCAAATTGATGGTTCGTTAATATATAGTGAGGAAATGAGAACAGAAAAGATTTTCAAACACCCATTACTTGAAAAGTGATAAATGCACAACTGACCTCCGCTATAAGTATTCTACGGAATGCATTGGCAACTGCTGCATCAATACCAACCATGTCAAACTCAATCTCTTCTTCATTGAGCCTTATAATTTCCACCCTAAAATTTTTCCTGAATTGATCGGACCTCAAGCTGTTATCAACACCCACTGACGCAAAGGCACCTCCATATTTAATTTTCTCCGTCTTCAAAAAAAATTTAGAAAAACAAAATGATGCATAAGCTCCAAAGAAATATAAAAAAACTTAGCAGTAAGCAGAAAATTCAAATAATAAAAATAGAAAAATAAATAAATATTCCAATACATTAGTGGGAGCTAAATAAGTGCAGAGAACGCGAGTACGCTGGAGCTCAATATGAGGAGGTAGCTGCCCCTGTGGCACATCAGGCAAATCCCAAACTGGAACTTTCTCGAGATCCATTGCCTCGGTCTCCGAATCCGATGCGGAAGAGGAAGTGGACATGGCGTCTCCGATATCGCAATCCGGTGATACGAGTGAATGGCGTTGGCGTAGTTCAGTAAGCTTTCTAAGGGCTTAGGGTTTAACTTTCTTGTGCTCCTTTAGAAAAATTGGAGCACTTTTGCACGAAATTGAAGAAGTATTTTTAAGTGGTTTGCGAGACGTTTCAGAAAATCAGCAAAATGAGTTTATCCAATATATTTTCCAAAATTCTTGCAAAAAACAAAAAACAAAAAAAAAAAAAATCTCCAAAATTGAAAAAAAAAAGAGTTTCTTTGTTTTTCTTAATGAATGGAAGAAGTTTTACTCCGTATTAGTTTAACATCAGCACACGCAAGAGGCTTTTTATGTTCTTAACATCAATAGATGTCATCATGCACTAGCATTGACATGTGTTTTTAAAACTTTTTGAACTGGAAAAATGACTCGATGTCTAAATTGAAATTCAATAGTTAAAATAATATATTTTATTTTTACTTAAATTTTTACTTTTTTGAGAAAAAATGTTTTAATAAACTATTTAACCAAATTTAATTTTTTTACATTGAATGTGCATTTTTTAGTTTTATAATTATTTAGAAAAAATCCGAAAGTAAAATGTTGCATATATTAAATAGAAATAGTGTTTTACAAACAAATATGTAAATATGCAGAGTTGATTTTATTAAGAATGTAATGAAAAACCGTATTGAGAGAGACAACGTACTGTTTTCATATTGGCGGAGATGATATTTAAGTTTATTAACAGTGCAAGAATGTGGATAGTTTAAGCAAGTTTTGTGTAACTTCTCTACAACAGGAACAATAGAAGTGTAACCAGGTTTTGTGTAACTTCTAATACAAAAGTGTGCAATGTAATTCGTATTATACATTTGTGTAAGTGTTGGAACCCAGAATTCAGCAATAGATAACAATTGCATTATGATTGAAGACACAGAGAAAATTCCATTGATTATGATCTCAGAATTTTTACACGAATGAATGTTTCTCTGCTATCACTCTTGCGCTCAAAATATGCTCTCAGCGGTTCTCAGAATAATTTCACACATATGCATAGATACCTAATGAGGTAAGTATTTATACCGTGTGTATCTGGGCATCCGTCATTTCATAATCATGGGCCCAAACTCCTATTTGAGGCCCTTAAACATTTTAGGCTAAATACAATCATTCCATCATACATATTCTAGGAAAGTAAATTATTACAAGCAGATAAAATATAATTGTTCACAGCTGAAATATCTTCTAACATTATCCCTCTTTGTGATTAATTGCATTGTAGGTTTTATTCATTTATGCTTCTTGAAGTAGTTTCTCCTTGGTGCCAGGGCATGTTCATATTGTCGCAGTGATCATCGCTTGTCGAGTCGTTCATTGATAGCTCCTAGCACCTTGGTTATTCTCTCACGCTCCTTCAGCTCTTCTTTGTTAACCTCAGCAAGTCTACATTTGATCTTTTCCTCTTTTTGTAACAATTGATCTTGAATGATCTTCAGAGTCCCATCACCAAATTTAGCAACCTCACTTAGCAGCATTGTGCGCTTCTTTTCCTCGTGGTTTAGATAGACTATCTCGATCTCAGGCTTGTCAAAAATATGGAGAGGATGACACTCATCAAGCCCGAGTCTAGATAGTGTTGGTCTTGTGACGTTTGCTTTTGGAACGTTGTTTTCGAGGACCATCTGAAGATCATGAGTGGCATGAACTCGTATTTGTCTCAACATAAACCTTTTTATCGCTTCATATCCTTTTTTGAGAACTTTGCTCTTTCTGATGGAAAATTTCATGCAAGTCATTAACATCTGATAGATGTCATCCATTTTAAGTATCACGAAGTCGTTCTCTTGACACGTGAATTTAATTCCATTGGTGCGTTAAAGCTAGTAAACAGAAAATTTGATACCACTGAGTTCTCCTTTATAGACTTCCAGAATGTCTCAGATGGGGGACTCACTTGTTCTCAGATTATGCTTGAGGACTTCACCTTGTGGTCTCCTTTCATATGGGCAAGACTTCTCACTTGAGCTCATGTATCTTCTAGATTTATATATCCTTCAGTTATGCCTTTGTATTTCCTATTTGAAAGGGGCTGTGATTCTTATGTTTCGTTAGGTCCCCATATTTTGATTATTAAAAGGTTTTGATGATGTCACATCCTTTCCTTTTCCTGTATTAGACTAGATCACTTGTTGTTTTATCCTTGTGTATTTATTGTAATGTGCTACTCTTAATTAAAGAAAGTACTCAAGAAAAACAAAAAGAGAGTACAAAAAAGAGAAGAAACGTACCAAAACAAAAAAAATGAATCAAAAAGCAAAAAGGTACGAAAAAGAGTTAACTGAAACCCTATGCAGTTCGCCAGCCTCCTGAAAACAACAATCAGTAGCCTACTAAAAACTATCAGTTGGCTTCTGACTTAGTTCCTTATTCCTGATTTTTCAAAAAGGATCTACATTCGAATAGGTTTAAATCCCTCATACCTATGTGTTGAGTCTGTGCTAAAAGATCAACAATGTTTTAGATCATAGTTCTTCACTGTGTCTTCTACATTAAGGCAGTAACCTCATTCGGCAGTCTGCTCCTAAAGGTTCAGCAGTCTGCTCCTTGAAATTTAGGCAGGCTGCTCCTTAAGGTTCGGCAGTCTACTTCTTGAGATAGCTGATTTTGGCTAACACATTTGTACTTTGTTTGATACATCTCTCATCCAACCAAAGGGTCATAGCATTTGTTACTGTAAAGTGTCACACATATGAGGTCAAGACTTTCGCTGAATGTTATAATATCTCCCAAAAGATATTGGAACTCACTTCGTTAGAGAAAAAAGGGTTGCTAATTCAAGAGGATTTAAAATTCTATTCACCCCCCTTCTCCGACTTTTACTTCACATGGGACCATCAATTGGGATCAGAGCGGTTGTTCATAGAGTCAATTTCTTAATCGGCTTATTTTGAACCAAAAATCAATCACCAACTCCCAAAACACTTATAGTCATCAGAGATGGTAAACATTATGAAGGAGATTCATATGGGAGGAAAAGGAAACAAGAAAGAAGACAACAAGTTGTTACTCAAACTCTGGATTCACAAAGTCAATTTGAGAAAAACATTATCATTCAAGGGACTGCCAAGAAAATCAAGAAGAAGAAGAAGAAGAAGGCAAACCTACTCTTATGACATCATCAAATCTAGCCAACATCATTAAGGAAAGATGTTCATGAAAAGGTATATTTGAACATATCTCCAGTAACTCAGTTTATTCTGAATGTTCATCTTAAACTTCAGAAAATCCTAATGGTAGTTTTACAAAAAGGACAATCTGATGATTAAAGATCATTTTATAAGGAATAAAAACTGAATAATCTCATTCATCTTTCTTTTTGCTAATGACAATCATTAAACTGGAAAGATATTGAATCTGGCTTCACTCACAGTCCCAAACCTCCAGAAAATACAAGCCTACTGGTCTATCCATTATCCACAATTTTCCAGAAATAGACTAGTATCCAACTATCCAAATATTCCACCAGTCACTAAAAGTTCACCTTATCCTTACTCCTATACCAAAGAACCTTCTTACCATAATCCCATAAAGATCTGGTTGACACCATTTTTGAAAAATCAACCATTATCTAATGCAGGAAATTATATACTCAAATGTCCATACTTTCTTCATAAAACTCATACATGGACAAAACAAGTATATGAACAAATTTTCACCCTACCCAATGGTCATAGACTACTCTGCTTATATTAGGATCAAGAGTTTCGGAAAGAATTCACTTCAAGCAAAACTCTAGTTCATGTATTCATTCAAAGGGATAAAACTGGCAGAGCAAGCACAATCTTGAAACAACAAAACTCAAATGATTTCATCATTTATCAAGTGGTACTAATCAACTTCAGTTTGTATCAGTTGGTACTTATGAATGTCAAAAGATATTTGTTGTTTTCATATAGTATCACATATAATCATCAAGGATCATTCAATGATGATACTATGACAAATTGCTCTGAAAGGAAAGGAAGGATCACTTATGTCAAATAGTGATGTGAATATAGAGTGGAAAGAAGATGTCAAAGATTGTAGATAACAATTTGAACTCCTCAAATTGTTAACACAACTTATGTTATGATTTAAGGATCCATCTATTGAGCACATGCCAGTCTATGACACACAACAAAAGACATATACTCCTCAAGGATGTCATCAGAAATTGTGCTCACTGGAAAGAAGGAAATCTTACTCAGAAAATCAGCAAGCTCCCAGTTGCCTGCTGAAAACTGCTGATAAGTACAAAAAAAGAGAGTTTCTTTGTTTTTCTTAATGAATGGAAGAAGTTTTACTCCGTATTAGTTTAACATCAGCATACGCAAGAGGCTTTTTATGTGCTTAACATCATTAGATGTCATCATGCACTAGCATTGACACGTGTTTTTAAAACTTTTTGAACTGGAAAAATGACTCAATGTCTAAATTGAAATCCAATAGTTAAAACAATAAAAAAATTGGGATGGGCTGGATTGAAAATTTTAAAAATAATACCTTATTTTTTTCTTTGCCCTGAGCTTCGGCCTACTATAGCCCTAACATAGATACTCCCCTGTGGGTAACCCAAAAATGTTACATTGTACATACGTGGAAATTTAGCTAAATTAGCTAATGCATGTGAGTGTAAATATTACATGTGTTATTTCATCACACACGTATGTATACCTACACTAGTTAGCTAATTAAGCCGGTTACTATTACTCCTAACAATTCTCATGAGCCGTAACTTTTATAAATAGATTAGTTATACTTAAGTTTTTATGTCAGTTCATTCTGCACGAAGTATCCCTTATATACACTTAACGATATCACATGTAAAATATATGTGTATTTATATATCAATAAAAATTCCTAATTATTTTTATCGCCACTATCATACAAATACATCCCAAAATATATTATTTATTATTTATATATGCTCATACTGCACCGGACATCGTTGAAGTTATCTTAGTTATTTTTTTTCAAGTATTTTACAATTTATTTTTGTTATCACCGCTAAGTTGTATTTCTCCCTTAAACTTTACATTTAGATTTGTACACAATATAGTGAGTACCAAATTAAACATTTACGCACAGAATAACAGTTCTCATAAACTAAT